GTTGTAACAGGCGAGTGATAACAGGCTTTAATCCTTTTAAAGTGCGCTGTGGGATGGGATATTGGCGTTGATTGGGGTAAATGTGATTCGGTTTCAATGGGATGGTAAGGGGTGCATGATCGGTCACCAAGGAGGGAGTAGAGGCGTCCTATACTTGTGGGTTAAGGTGGAGAGATACAAGGAGAGGATGTGAAGGAGGCTTTGAACTGAGGAAAAAGGTGGCAATGAGGTGTGGCTGTAGCCCATGAATAGCCAGGTAAGCAGATAACTTAGTTAAAATGTCTCAACCTAATAAGGGAGCTGGGCAGGTGGGGATAACTAAAAAGGAGTGCATAAAAGAATGTTGTCCAAGTTGGGACCAGAGTTGGGGAGTTTTAAGAGGTTTAGAAGTCTGGCGGTCAATACCCACAACAGTTATGGAGGCAAGGGAAAAGGCTCTTGAAAAGAAGGTAATGTGGAGTGGGTAGCCTCCATATTGATTAAGAAGGGGTGGGACTTACCCTCCACTGTAAGAGTTACCCAAAGCTCGGTGTCCGTGAATGTTTATGGGGCTTCCGAGGCGATTGAGCAGCATCAATCTTCAGCCAATAAAGCTGAGAACATCTGGGAAGAAATCAGTCAGAGCCTTGGGCCAATTGGACAGTCCCATTTCCAGTGGGGTACCACACACATGGGACATGGCTTAGGAGGAATCCCGGGCTGTGGGCATTCCTCGGCCCAATGGCCAGATTTCCAGCACCTGAAGCAAGATCCTGGGGGAGGAAGTCCTGAAGGAACCCCTGGCAGCTGCAGTTCAGGCATTTTGAAGTTCTTGTGCGCTGGAGATGTGGCTGGGGTTTCTCTTACAGTGGAGGCAAGTAATTGCAACTCAGAAATACATTGCCTCTACTTTATTATTGTACACCTTGAAGGTGAGGTTAATTGAGTCCTGTTGTGGGGTTTGAGGGCCAGAATCTAATTTTGGAGGTTTTTCTAATGCCAGGAGGGGATTGGGTAATAAAATGCATAGAGAATAAAACAGGCTTGTGTCCCCTCTGGGTCCAGGGTGGTAAAGCGTCTCAGGGTTGTTGCCAAACGGGCCATGAACTGGGCTGGGTTTTTATATTTGATGAAAAAGAGCCTAACTGCTAGCTGATTTGGGAGAGGTAGAACAAAGAAAAAAGGAGCATTAGCCTTGACTATGCCTTTAGCTCCAGCCACCTCTTTAAGAGGAAATTGTTGGGCAGGTAGGGGAGGGCTAGTCACGGAACGAAACTGTAAGCCAGAGCAGGTGTGAGGAGGGGAGGTGATAGAAGGATTAAAGGGTGGGGGAGCAGAGGCTGAGGAAAAATTGGGACCTAGCTCAGCCTGGTGAGGAGCCGCCTGGGGAGAAGGGGAGAGGTCAGACGGATCCATAGAAAAGGAAGATTCAAAAGACTCAGAGAGACTTGGGGTTGGGACTGAAGCGACAGGCGGGAGGGAAAGAAGAAAGATTTGGGATGAGTCTCATTGGGAGCAGAGACTAGGGAGGGACCAATGTGTAAAGGAATGCCTGGACATCAGGCACCTCAGACCATTTGCCCATTTTTTGACAAAAATTGTCTAGCTCTTTTAGGATAGACAAATTGAAAGTGCCATTCTCTGGCCACTTGGAACTACTGTCCAGCTTGTATTGGGGCCAAGCAGTGTTGCAGAAGAAAATAAGACACTTAGATTTTAGGTCAGGCAAGAGTTGAAGAGGTTTTAAGTTCTGGAGAACACAGGCTAACGGAGTAGAAGGAGGAATGGAGGGTGGAAGATTGTCCATAGTGAAGGAGGCACATTTAAAGAGAAGCATAGAGACACGGAGAATGGGGGTGGGGAGCAGCCAAAGCAAGTGTCCCCATAATTGACTTGCCACCAAGGGAATGACCAAGGCAGGCGTCCCCTCGGAGATCAGACGCCAATGGAACATGGGTGAATAATGAGAGAGGCGTCCCCGTGATGATTAAACACCAAGGGAAGGCTGCCTTCCCGAGTCCGTGACTGGTGCTGGAGTTTTGGGTCCACGGATAAAGTGTGTCTCCTTTGTCTCTACCAGAAAATGAAAGGAATTGAAATTAAGAGAAATGAGAGATTGAAGGCATGAAGATTGAAAGGAGAAACAGGTTGAGGGATAGTGAGAGAGGTTGGAGAAGAGAGTAAAGAGAAACCACTTACCTGATTAAAAATCAGTGAGATGTTCCTTGGGCTGGTTGGTCTGAGGACTGGAGGTCCTAAGTGGATCTCTTCACAGAATGAGGGTGAGGACAGGGGACTGGTCTTCCAAAGGAGTCCTGCTGACCCGGGTCTTCGGCACCAAATGTCTCACGTGTCCGTGTGAAGAGACAACCAAACAGACTTTGTGTGAGCAACATGGCTGTTTATTTCACCTGGCTGCAGGTGGGCTGAGTCCAAAAAAGGAGTCAGCAAAGGGTGGTGGGAAGGGGGCTAGAGAATTGATGCTGCTGGTTGGTTAGGGATGAAATCATAGATGTGTGGAAAATGTTCCTGGTTGCCGAGTCAGCCTCTGGCTGGGGGCTATGGGACCGGTTGAGTCATGATTCATGGACCCTGGTGGAGTCAGTTGGTCACCAGAATGCAAAAATCTGAAAACCATCTCAAAGACCAATTTTAAATTTTGACAATAGTGATGTTATCTTTAGGAATAATGAAGGAAAGTTAAAAATCTTGTGAACTCTGGAACCACAGCTGACTATTCTTTAACTACACCTATGTTTTAGCAGAGTTCAGGCCTCTCCCATAATCCTAATCTGTGGCCTTTCATTAGTCTTACAAAGGCAGTTTCAGTCCTGAACAAGACAAGCGTCAATTTTAGGGTTAAACTTCTTTCCTTTATAACTTATCCAGTCTCGGGCAGTTCTTTCTAGCAGTGCGAAAATAGACTAATACAAACACTTTCCAAGAAGTAACAAACATTTTAAGAGAGAGAAAGAAAGGGTTACATTGCCATCTCTCAAAATGGCTGATTTTTCAATAAGTATGTCAGAGAGCTCATTTTATTCCATTCTTTCCAGAATTGTGTATTACCATTGAAGAAAAAATTACTAATCTCTTAAACTGAAAAATCGCATTTTTCTTTTAATTTTGCTTTGTTTGGTTATTAAGTGTCACAATTTTAATAGTTTTTTTAATCATCTGTAATTCTTTTCTAATAGTCAGGTTTTAATTAAATTCCTATTGAATTTTAGCTTTTTTTTTCTTATCTACTTACATGGGCTCTTTCTACAATAGTTTATTTCTTCTTCTTATATATTTGTTGCAATTATTACCTTCATTTGCAATTGTTAAAGTTAGCTTTGTGACTATTTTAACATGTTTAAATTCAAATTTATATTTATTTTTTTCTTTGTATTTTGTATTGATTTGGGTTTGAAAAATGACTTTGATTTCAAGATCAGATATGTAGGTTGAGCATTCTTAATCTGAAAGTCCAAAATCCAAAATACTCCAAAATTTAAAACTTTTTGAGCTTCAACATGACATTACATGTGGAAAATTTCATACTTCACCCTCATGTGATCTGATACAGTCAAATCACAGTCAATACTTTATTTCATGCACAGAATTATTTAAAATATTATATAAAATTACTTTCAGGCTATGTGTATAAGATGTATATAAAACATAAATGAATTTCATATTTAGACTTGGGCCCCCTCCTTAAGATACTTTATTTATATGCAAATATCTCAAAATTTCAAAAATATCCAAAATCTGAAACTGTTCTGATCCCAACTGTTACAGTTAATATTGAGTGCCAACCTGATTGGATCGAAGGATGCAAAGTATAGTTCCTGGGTGTGTCTGTGAGGGTGTTGCCAAAGGAGATTAACTTTTGAATCAGTGGACTGGGAGAGACAGACCCACCCTCAATTTGGGTGGGCACCATCTAATCAGCTGCTGACATGGCTAGAATAAAGCAGACAGAAGTTGGAAGGACTTGATTTGCTGAGTCTTCTGGCTTTCACCTTTCTCCCATGTTCAGTGCTTCCTGCCCTGGAATATCAGAGTCCAAGTTCTTCAGCTTTTGGACTCTTGGACTTACACCAGTTATTTGCCAGGGGCTTTCAGGCCTTCAACCACAGACTGAAGACTGCACTGTCACCTTCCCTACTTTTGAGGTTTGGGGACTCAGACTGGCTTCCTCGCTCCTCAACTTGTAGATGGCCCATTGTGGGACTTCACCTTGTGATCGTGTAAGTCAATTCTCCTAATAAACTCCCCTTCATATATACATCTATGCTGTTAGTCCTGTCTCTCTAGAGAATGCTGACTAATACACCAAGCATTTTAGATAAGGGCAATCCACCTGTATATTCTCCTATACTTCTGTTTTTATTGCCTTGTTTTTATTTTTTAACATAACTATAAAATGTATTAGAATTTTAGTATTTTTTATGATGGACTCTAAAGATAGCCTTTTATTTCTAGGATGTCAACATTAACTAAGAAAGTAAACTCAGCTTCTCATTTATATGTCATTCTATTTAGCATCCTTAAATGACTTTCTTAAATAGCTCTACTCTTACTTTTTTTGGGGGGGCGGGGAGGACAAGGTCTTGCTCTCTCATCCGGGCTGGGTGCAGTGGTATCATCACGGCTCACTGCAGCCTCAATCTCCTAGGCTCAAGTGATCTTCAGCCTCCAGAATAGCTGAGACTACAGGTATGCCAACACACCCAGATAATTTTCTTTTCTTTTTTCTTTTTTATTGTTTTTCTAGAGACAGGGTCTCACTGTGTTATCCAGGCTGTTCTCAAACTCCTGGCCTCAAGGGATCCTCCCACTGGGCCTCCCAAAGTGCTGGGATTACAGGTGTGAGCCACTGCACCCAGCCTACTCTTACTATATTTTACATATAATTATATTTTAAATAACGGCATCATTTTGAAAAGTAAGGAAAGCATGAAAAATGTAAAATTCCTTATAAGATATAAGATTACAGATAAAGTAGGATTTAATACTGCTGGTAACCATCTCCCTGCACCAGCTGAGTGATGAGGTCAGAAAATAAATCTGGTTAAATTGATCTGAAAATACTATGCTATCTAGTGGGGATGTGAGTTTTTAAAAGGCCTACAAGACTAGAATAGTAAACCAGCATGAGTCATGCACAGCTGAAAAGACTAGTGCCTCTGCTGCCTTTTCAGCTAGACTATCAAATACTAATAACCTCCATGTAGGACTGACCTCCTCTGATGAATAGTGTGCAATAATAACATGTGGACCAAGTTAACAAAAATGGCCATAATTGTAGTTAAAAATGGCCATATATATGATAAAAATGATCTCCCGTGAGGGTTTGTTTGCACATCTGAATATTCTGATACTGACTTTTTTTCTCCTGTTGTTTTAGGCAGTAATGCCTAATTCAAGGAAACCCGGAGACAGGTACAGAAAACATACTAAGAACACAGGAACCTCTGGATCCAGGAAAGGTGACTGAGTCCACAATGCCTCCAACAGACCTGAAGATAAATCACAAGACAACGGAACGTCACTGTCTCTTATTTGGTGTCCTATGGCTGAAAATGTGCAGTGTTTCTGATGTATGTCTTTATGGGGGCATTTTAGGGTAAAGAGAATTGTGTAAGTTAGGACTTCCCTGACAGAGACATGATCTAGAATCAGAATCCTCGGAACTTCTCATCTCTATGGTTAACTCACGCCCAAGTCCCTGGAGGGCACAGACACAGCCCTGAGGATTTGTCTGCGGGGGCCCTCAGCACCCTTGAGGGTTTACATTAGTGAGACAAATGGCGAATTCACTGCAGCCAAATGTTGCACATTTCATGATGAAAGATAAGTTTCCCCAGACTGGGCTTCATTTATTTCTCCTGCAGTGAAATATGTGTGGATTTGTATTTTTTCATTACTACATAAATACAAGCAGTTTATGAAATGCTGAAGGAATTATCAAAGTTAAATCTCCCATTCTATGGCTATGAAAAGAATTTCCTTGTTGTTTCTTGCTTCATAAAAACACAAGCCATGATCTAATGATTTAATGAAAAAAATCTATTTTGTTTAAAAAGTGAAATTAGAATTTGGCACATCTGCTCAGTACCTCAGGGGGAGTTAAACCCTTGCTTTCTGAAAATAAAGGGTACTGTAGAAATGTGTACCACCAATTGTCCCAGGTTATTGATTAGTAATGCAGATGGCACTGGATCATAACATCAAAGTTGTTGTTTTGGTTCAGATCATTGTACTATGCATTTCCAGGCTAGCAGACAATTCATTTGTATTTTCACACATCCCAATACTTAAATGTCCACTCGATGCCGGCCACTATGGAGGAGCTGGGAATACAGTGGTAAACAAGAGTGCTGGAGCCCAGGGAGCTTGCTATGATACATACCACTACCATGGTCCCAGTAATTCCTGCCAGGTGGCATTCATGCCCTTGTGTAATCTCCTCATCCTTTTGTGCACATGGAAAGGACCTAATGACTGTTTTCTAACAGAATTTGACAAGAATTCTGGAATGTCATTTTCCAGATTAGGTTACCAGGAGACTGTGGCTTCTTTCTTGGGTGCCCTCTCTTCGCTCTGTCCCATTTGCTCTGCAAGAAGGCCTGTCATATTGTGAGCTGCCTGAGAGAGGCCCACAGTGGGAGAAACCAATACGCCCAAGGACCATCAAGAACCAACAGCCAATGAGTGGACTTGGGGCAGGACACGCTGGGTGAGCCCGATGTAGCTGCCTGCCCTTGGCCAAAAACTTTATTACAGTCTGATGGAGACCCCCAGCTAGGGGAACCTGGCTAAGCTGCTCCCAGATCCCTGCCCCACGCCCCACAATAACATTGAAGGGATACATGTTTGCTATCTAAGGTTAAAGACTTCGGGAGTAGTTTGATATGCAGAAATAGGTGACTTACACACTTACTTGCTAAAGCCAGGGTCAGATAGCGAACAGATACATCAATGGATGATATGATGTCAAATTGATCTTTCTGCTTTCATGATTTTCTCTTTGTCACTGCTTTTGAGAGATTTGATTGTGATATTCCTTGGTGGTGTTTCCTTTATGTTTCTAATGCTTAGCGGGATTTTAGACTCTTGGAAGTACGAGTGTAATTTTCATTAAATTTGGAAACATTCTAGCCATTATTTCTTCAAATGTTTTTTCTAGTGCCTCCTTACTCTTCAGGGACTCCAGTTACTCATTTTAGGGTTGTTCAAAGTTGTCCCACAGCTCACTCCTGCTTTGCTGATTTTAAAAAATTCATTTTTCGTACTGTGTTTCATTCTGGATCATTTCTATTTCCAAGTCTTCACACTCACTAATTTCTCTTTCTGCAAGGTCTAATTCACTTTTATTCTGTCCAAGAAATTTTACAGGTCCTATACTGTAGTTTTCATCCCTAGAAGTTTGATTGGGGTCTTTTTTATGTCTTCCCTGTCTTCACTTGACTTTTTGAAATATGGAAATACAGTTATAATAACTGTTTTAATGCAATTTTCTGCCAATTCTCACATTTGTGTCAGGGCTGGGTCAATTTTGAAGGATGGTTGGATGGATGGATGGATGGATGGATGGATGGATGGATGGACGGATGGATGGAGGGATGGATGGAATAATTTAGTCCTCATTATGAGTCATTTTCCTGTTTCTTTACATGCCTGGTAATTTTTTACTGGATGCCCAGGTTTGTAAATTTTAACTTGTGTGCTTGATTTTTTTTAACACCTATAAATATCCTTGAACTTTATTCTGGAATGCACTCAGTTACTTGGAAACAGCTTGAATTTTTTAAATTTTTATTTACTTTTTTTTTTTCAGGGCATTGCTCAGTTTAATGCAAATTATTCCGTACCCTGTGGCCAGATACTTCGGCACAGTCTACAGACTGCTTGTGAATATGGAGCTTTTCCCGTCTACCTATGGAAAGAGACTATTCTCAGCACTGTTACTACTGATCCTTCAGGGTGGCTCTGTCTCTGGCCCTGGGGAGTTTCTTTGCATATGGGTGGTGATAAGGGACTCCACTGAATACTCCCTGGGGACCCTGGGAAGGATGCTGTGCAGCTTCTTCTTCTGTGTTACCCCAACCTGTGAACTCAAGTACCTTCTCCTTCCAAGACTCTCATCTCGGTCTTCTCAACTCAGGGAGTCTTCAGAAGCCCTTCCTGTCTACTGTTCCCATCCACATGGCTTACAAACCCTCTCAATTCAGTGAAATGGGACAGTCATAGGATTCACTTTGTTTTTCTCCTTTTATGGATCACAGTCCACTTGTCTGATACCTATTGCCTTGCTAATCATGGTCTCACATATTTTGTCTGCTGGAGGTTGTTTGTAGTGGGAGGATATATCCGTGTACTCCATCTCATTCAGAAGTGCAAGGATGATACATGTTTATTCTTAGATTTTTATTTAGATATAATTATAGATTTATATTTAGTTGTACCAAGTAATACAGAGAGATCTCATACACCCATTTATCTAGTTTCTTCCAATGGTAACATCTTGTTATAATTGGACGATATTACAACCAGGATATCGACACTAGTAGAGTCACAACATGGCACATTTCTGTGATAGTTAATATTAAGTGTCAACTTGATTAGATTGAAGGATGTGAAGTATTGTTTCTGGGTGTGTCTGTGAGGGTGTTGCCAGAGAAGATTAACATTTGGGTCAGTAGACTGGGAGAGGCAGACCCACCCTCAATCTGGGTGGGCACAATCCAATTGGTTGCCAAAGCAGCTAGAAAAAGCAGGCAGAAGAAAGTGGAATTAGCTGACCTTCTGAGTCTTCTGACCTTCATCTTTCCCCCATGCTGGATGCTTCCTGCCCTCAAACATCAGACTCTAAGTTCTTCAGTATTTGGACTCCTGGACTTACACCAGTGGTTTAACGGGACTCTCCAGCCTTCAGCCACAGACTCAAGGCTGCACTGTTGGCTTCCCTACTTTTGAGGTTTTGGGACTCAGCCTGAGCCACTGCTGGCTTCCTACCTCCTCAGTTTGCAGAGATTGTCTATCATAGGACTTCACCTTATGATCATGTGAGTCAATTCTCCTTGATAAACTCTCTTTCATATATATACATATATCCTATGAGTTCTATCCCTCTACAGAACCCTGACAGATACAATTTTTATCATCACAAAGATCTCTCATATTGCTTTTTTTCTTCTTCTGCCCCTCATATCCCCTCCTGAACGTTGGCAGTCACTAATCTTTTCTGTTTATATAATTCTGTCATTTGAAGAATGTTATGTAAATGGAATTATACAACGTATAAACATTTGGGATTTGTTTTCTCACTCAGCATAGTTCTCAAGAGATTCATCCATGCTGTATAAATTAATAGTTTATCCTTTTTATTGCTGAGTAGTATTCCATAGTATGGATATATCGATGTTTAACTGTTCACCCACTGAGGCATATCTGGGTCATTTCAAGTTTTTGTAAAGATCATAAATGGTATTGTGTTTTTAACTTCAGTGTGCACGTGCTTATTGCTAGTATATTAAAATATGGTTGAATTTTGTACGTTTATCTTATATTCTATGGCATTGGTCAGCTCTAAATTAGTTCTAGTAATTTTTTTATGGGCATTTGGAGATTACTCTACATCTATAATCATGCAGTCTACAAATGGGGTAGTTTTATTTCTTTCCTTTAGATTTGTATACACTTTATTTATATATTTTCTTGTTTAATTGCACTGGCTGGACCTTACTGTATATGTTGAGTGAGAGTAGTGAGAGCAGCTATCTGGGCCTTGATACAGCTCTTAGGAGAAAATCATTCAGTGTTTCCTAATTAAGTATCATAATACGCGTAGGTTTTTTGTAAATATTTTTTGTCAAGTGGAAAAAGTCCATTCTTGACTATTTCTTGAGAGGTTTTATCATAAGTGGGTATTTGATTGTGAAGTTGTCTATTTTTTTTCTTTCAGTTCAATCAGTTTTCACTTTAAATATTTTGCAGCTCTGTTTTCTGGAGAATACATGTTCAGGATTTTTATATCTTTCTTGGTAGATTGATACTTTTATCATTGTATAATATATATCTCTATATTTTAATACGGTATAATTTTTTTCTTTTTCCTGGAGCCATTCTTTCGTGTTAAGTATTCTGAAAATAAATAATCTCTTTTTTTTTTTGGAACTGATAATGTCTCGATTCCCTCTTCATCCCTGAAGGATACTTTCACTGGATATGAAATTGTTGAGTTGACAGTTGTTTTCTTTCAGCCTGTGAAAAAATGTGCCACTTTCTTTTGGCGTTTATTGTTCCTGGTAAGAAATACACTGTCATTTTTTTAGTCCTTTCCCTATGATTAAGGTGTCATTGCTCTCTCACTAATTTTAATATTTTTTTCATTTTCCTTTGTTTCCAGATGTTTGGCTATGATGACTCTTAGTATGAATTTCTTTGGTTTTACCTTTTTTCTGTTTCACTCAGCCCCTTGAATCTGTGGTTTTATGTCTTTCACTACATTTGAGAAGCTTCCAGCCATTACTTTTCAAAGCACTATTTTAGCTCCAACTACTTTCTCTTCTCTGCTGGGATTTTGATGACATAAATGTATATTTTGTTAAAATTCTATCAGTCTCTGATGTTCTCTTGTTTATTTTCAGTCTATTTTCTCTCTGTTGCTCAAAATGGGTAAGTTCTAATGTCCTATCTTCAATTTTCCCATTGTTAAAGCTTGAATTTTTGTGTCCCACAAAATTTCATATGTTAGAGCCTTAAGCCCAGTATGGCTGTATTTTGAGATGGGTCCTTTAAGGAAGTAACTAAGGTTAAATGAGATTATAAGGGTGGAATTCTGATCTGATAGAATTTGTATCCTTGTCAGAGAGCTTGTGCTTGTGCAGGCATCTCTCTCTCTCTCTCTCTCTCTCTCTCTCTCTCTCTCTCTCCCCCCCGCCCCAACCCTGCTTCTCTCTTTATATTTATACACATACCAAAGAAAAGTCATGGGAGGACACAGTGAGAAGGCAGCTGTCTGCCAGCCAGGAAGTGAGCCCTCACCAGAAATCACATTGGCCAGAAGATTGATCTTGGACTACTCACTCTTCAGAACTGTGAGAAACATATTTCTATTGTTTAAGCAACCCAGTCTGTGGTATCTTGTGGTGGCAGCCTGAACAGATAGATTTTAATACTAAAAAGCTCGGTGCTTTTGTAACAAATACCCGAAAATGAGGAGGCAGCTTTAGAACTGGGTAATGTGTAAAAGCTAGAGGAGTTTTGGGGTACATACCAGAAAAAGTCTAGATTACCATGAAGGGACTATTGGTGGAAATGTGTACATTAACGGTGACTCTGGGAAGGACAGCAAGAAAACAGAAGACCTGAAGAGAAAGTCTTCATCTTCTTGAGAATGCATATATCATCATAAACAGATTGTTGGTGGAAATATGGATGGGAATGGTCATTCTAGTGTTGTCTCAGGTGGAAATGAGGAACAGGTTATTAGAAATTGAAGTAAGGGTGATCCTTTTTATAAAGTGGCAAGCACCTTGGCTAAACTGTGTACTGACATTTTGTGGAAGGTGAACTTTGAGAGTGATGAAATTGGATATTTAGCTGAGAAGATTTCTACGAAAAATATTGAAGCATATTAAGTTTTCCTTACATTAGGAGTAAGATACGAGAGGAGAGAGATAAATTGAAGAAAGTATTCAGCAAAAAGGAACCAGAACTTGGTGATTTACAAAA